CTGTTCCAGGCCGAAGGAAGAGTAAGTGCAAAGGCCCCAACTCAAGAATGAATCTAGTTCTGAAAGAAGGCTGGTGTGACTGACATGTGGTGTTTTATAGAGGGAAAAACAGGAAAGATAATGTCCGAGAAACAGGGGCACATCAGGAATACAAGACATTGTTCCCACAGACATTGGTTCGTTGCCTCTTTCTACGAAGTTGCCTGCACTCTTGAGCACGGGCACTGTTCTGTGCATGGCAAAGCAGAAGGCATTCTAAGCCATGAACGTTAGTGCTGGCCAAGGTGTGACAGGACCCATACTCAGAGTCACTGTCTGTTTCCACGGGAACAGACCGCAGCCCCACCCACAGCGGAAGCGGGCCAAGGAAAGGAGCCTGCCGCCAGGTGGCTGCTGGACTTAGGTGTGCTTCATGCTGGGTCCCCGCGGAGACTGGCCCTAAGCCAAGGATGTGTGCTCAGGAGGGGACCCTGCTAAGGACCTAGCTGCTGTGTTCTCATCTTAAGTTCTAGGTCCCATCCTCAAGGTTCATTGCTAAAATCCTTCCTAAGACCTTTACACCAACTGTCAGCACTGCTTTTTTCAGGTCTCGGACCATATAGACAGTGATCGTTTTAGAGCCTGGATCAGGTCAGATTTTCTTCAAGTCAAAGTACAAGGTAAAAGGCACTGCTTGGAACTTCCCTGGTGGTCCACTGGCTAAGACTCAATTCCTAATGCAAGGGGCCCAAAATCGAGCCCTGGTCAGGGAACTAGATCCCACATGCCACATCTAAAGATCCTGCATGCTACAGCTAAGACCCAGCGCAGCCATATATATATATATAAAGGCATTGCTGTATGGCAGAAACGAACACATTTAAAAACAATTATCCTACAACTAAAATAATAATAACAATAACAACAATAATAATAATAGTAAAGGCATTGCTTGAAGTCCTGTCTGCTGGGATTTGCCCTCTAGGGTCCTTCAAGATCACTGTGAATAGGGGCTACAGTATACAGCAGTGTACTTCCACCTGGTAATACATATTGTTCAACAAAATCTATAAGCCAGGCTTGACTTCTTCCATTCTTAATTGGCCAACAACTCTCCAGCGGGGCAAGGGACAGGTTGATAGGGGCGCTGAGTGGGAATAGGGTACTTAAAGGCACAGAGTGGGGAGAAATCTGCTTACACAAAGATAGAGTGCCTTCATGGTCCGCTCTGGTCCCATCTGCTATGGGATTGCTACTGGAAACAGCCAACTTTCTGAGTAGGTGGATTACACAGCACCTGAGGTCGCAGGCTCTCCAACATACCAGTAGCAAATGGGAGCCATATCACAAAAGGAAAATAGTGATTTTCTGAAGGGGATGTGGCCTTGTTCCAAAATCCTGTGGGCTTCCACTGTGACTCTCCTAGAGACTTGTTTCTGACTTTAATAAAGCGTTTCAATCTTTCAGATACTTTGAGAGGGCCGAGCAGCAGAGCTGCTTGGTCTACAGCCTGGGTGGGCCACCTAGAGAGGCTGCTTTTGCACTACCTTTTTAGGTCACTTGGGAAACAAATACGTGCAAAACACCTGTATGCTATATGCTGTATCTAAAATCCAGAGCCTTTCTCAACTGTAGAACAGGGAAGGTGCAGCAATTTGCCCTTTAACACCGAAGAGGGCTATCTCAACATGCACTAGACCACTGAATCCTTGAGAAAATCACTAAGCAATCAAGTCCCTCCATTTGTATGATATTCAGGTTCCATCCTTGGCATATGTTGTGTCTTATCAGGGCATTTGGGTATCTGATATTTCATGCTCTGCCTCAACACAGTGGGCTAATGTGACATCCTACAGTTTGATGTGGCATTAAGTGTCCTCATGTAGCAATTGGCTAGAACTGACATCCATTCTGCCCCTGCCAGGTAAAAGCAAACAACTGTTGATGGATTCTACCAACCAAAATGGGTAAAAATACAGTAGTTAGACCAACAGTCAGAGGCTGTATTAAGTTGTTCCAATAAAGAGACCATTGGATAGCATCTACAATTCAAATCACCTAAGTTTGATCATTATAGACTGCTGTCACCCTCCAAGGCCCATCAGTCTTTCTCACTGGTCAAATAGAAGTACACTGTATATTTGGGGATGACAGGAATGTCCGCATTTGTACCTTTCTTCCCATCAATGGTTGCATTTAACTCTGTCATTACCCCAAAGACATCCTGCTTTTTCACTTATTATTTTGCTAAGGATGGAATGCTCCAGAGTCCTTCCCTAGGCCTTCCACAACAAGTATATTTACTCTTGAAGGCAGGGACCCAATGCTGGGCTTCTGCAAAGGGTGTCCACCCATCTACACTTAGGAACTGAAGAAATAAAACATGAGGTAGAGGGAAGGGGAGTTCAGCCATTCCCCTGGGCTTAGAGTGAAATGGGGTCTAACATGCCACTCATAGCCTGTATTTTTATCAGTGGGCCATGGTGTTCTCAATCTTCCCGAAGTTGGTGCTAATTTGGAACCAGTATCCATTGAAACACTGGATGCTTCTTTTTTCTAAGTACACATATCTATCAATATAGCACAGCCCTTGAGGGTCTAGCCCTGCGAATTTACTCAGGTGTGAAATCGAGAGAGAAGCTGTGATGTAGCTTGATTCAAGTGTCTATTATCCAGACCTGTAAAGCTGGCTTCAAGAAAAACCAGATTAAGAACTAAAGTAGCTGCCTATTGCTTTCATTCCTAGAAGCCCTAAGCTAATTATTGAGATTGCTGCAGATCAGACAATTTCCTAGTTACCATCTCTGTCTACCTTCTCCCTCCTTATGAGAACCACACCCATTTTCCTTCTAACAGGTGAACCTCCAGCATACCCAATCCAGAAAGAAGAACGGCCAGGTCAGAACTTCTGATTTTTCACAAGTTTCCCTTTTCCATCTGTTCCTAACTGCACTAGAAAGCCATGCTTGGGCACTGACAGAAAAGTCACTGACGTGGTAGACAGTGCATATACAAAACCTCAGTCGAGCACAGGCGAGCTTTTAGCGGTTGGTGCTGCTCTCGTTTGGTCAGTCAACATTGCCGACAGCTGCCCCCAAATAACCGGCTGACTATCATATCTCCTGAGAGCACCACATTCAACCAGATCCAGCTAAGTAAGCAATACTCAGTAGCGAAGCTATGGGAAAATCTTAATTTCTTATGATTGAGAAAGTTTCAGAACTCCGTTTCTTCACAACTAGCTTGGTGTGTTCTTTTTCTTCAGCTCAGTATTTCAGGACCTTGGCTGCATAGGAATCATTGGGGGCGAGGGGGAGAAGGTGAGCCTTTAACAAACACTGATGCCTATATCCCACCCTCAGAGGTGCTGGTTTAATAGCTTGGGCCACTAGAGCTTTAAAAACACTTCCAGTGTCTCGAATTTGCAGCCAAAAGACATTCTAATTCCTTCCAGCAACCTCTGTACCAACACTTAGGACCCCACTCTATCCCTTAATTTTCACGTAAGAAACCTGAGGAATTGGTCAAGTCATATAACTGCCCTGAGTTTCACTCAACACCTTGAGTTGAGATTTGGGGATTAAAGTTCATTCTCTCCCCTAAGTTATCCAGTGTCCTTGAAAGCAATCACCTGACTCCATACTCTTTCTCCATCACTAAATTGTTCCATCTCGGTTCTGTTAAACTGTTCTATGGTAGCTGCTAACTGGTACCCAAGGGCCTTAACCTTCGAGAGCTCATGGATCCCGGTGACTAAGGACAAGAGCTTGATAAGGTGATCACTGCAGCTGCTAGCTTTCCATCCAGAATACAAAGAGAGGTGGTGGTGCCTTTCATCCTCCCCAACATCAGTGTGGATGGTGACTGCAGCCATGAAATTAAGAGATGCTTGCTCCTTGGAAGAAAAACTATGACAAACCCAGACAGCACATTAAAAAGCAGAGACATCCCTTTGCCTACAAAGGTCCATATAGTCAAAGCTACAGTTTTTCCAGAAGTCATGTACGGATGTGACAGTTGGACCATAAAGAAGGCTGAGCACAGAAGAACTGATACTAAGGAACTGTGGTGCTGGACTTCTCCACTCCCTTGGACTGCAAGGAAATTAAGCCAGTCAATCCGAAAGGAAGTCAACCCTGAATATTCACCAGAAGGACTGATGCTAAAGTTGAAGCGCCAATACTTTGGCCACCTGACGTGAAGTACTGATTTATTAGAAGAGACCCTAATGCTGGAAAAGATTGAAGGCAGGAGAAGGGGACAATAGAGGATGAGATGGTGGGATGACATCAGCAAGTCATTTGACCTGAGTTTGAGCAAACTCTGGAAGATGGTGAAGGACAGGGGAGCCTGATGTGCTGTAGTCCATGCTATTATGAAGAGTTGGACACAATTGAGCAACTGAAGGACAACGTAACCAGTTCCAAGATTCCTTATTTCTTACAATCCATTTTTTGGAACCAATCTGGATATTAGTTAAAGCTCTTTTATTTGTGAGCAAAAAAGTAAACTGTCAGTGACCTTACTTGGCTTAAGGAAATAAAAATATATTGGAATGGATCCTGGGGTCGTTCACAGATTCAAATAAACTATGAGAGAACCAAAACTCTAGAAACAGGAAACCTCTCATAACTTTCTTACAGGGCCACCATAAAAGTGATCCAACTTTGGTGTCTCTTAGTCTGTCCATTCAAATTTCAAATTCCCACGAGAAGATCTGTTTGGCTCAACTCAGTGTTAGGTCTCCCCTATCAATCAGCTATGGCAGCAAGGCAGGGTCACAAAGCTCAGACACAACCACACAGGTGACGGGACTGGAAACCACACAGCTGCCCCAGTAGAAGTCTACTTCAGTTACCCATGTTTGTAAGCTTCTATTTTGCAGCTGATAAATAACAAAGTTAAGGACAAAAAAGCACAAAAGACACTGCCTAATCAAATAACTTTAATCAAGTTAACAGTAACCAGTACAATTATAGGAAAAGCCCCATATTTTACATATAAATTGCTTTTCATTGTCTTTACTTGTAAGGTGTTGAAGGTGGGACCCACTCCTGAATCTTCTTTCTAGTGGTGGAATAAGGTACGTACTGTTGTGGAGTGCCACTCAGATTGAATTTATGGTTTGTCCAAATGAATTTACGAGCAGTAGGTGGTTTTACTGTTGGAGGATCATCAGTCATACAGTGAAGCCAACGATGCCTTAAAGAGAGAGAGAAAAAAAAAAAGACAGTTATGAAGAGGCAGCCTAGTGTAGGAGGAAGAGAGCTAGGAGAGCAGTTCTGGAGTTATGATGTTGCTTGAGCTCAAATCTCAGCTCTATCACGAACTAGCTGAACTTTCCTATGCCTTGGTTGTTATCATCTGAACATTCTTGCTAAGAAAAGTATAAGGATTAAATCAGATAATACTCCTGTGCACGGTAGGTACTCAACAAATGTTAGCTAATGCTTTTATGATTATTATATGTCATCAAACCTTGGACCCCATCAATTTTAAGATACACCATTATTTTATATATCACTAAGAAAGAAAAGATGCTGCTAATTAAATTGTGGCACTATTGATTATAACATGTATCTTAATTTTAGATATAAAAATGTAGTTTAGAACTGATGACGTACAGCGTTACTATTAGATGCTAGAGGCTGCATCCGCAGTTTCAGTATGCTCAGGATGCTCTGGTTCATGAAGCTCTAGTTTGAAACCCTTGAGGCTCCTGTTGAAGAAGAGGGTCTCTGCATGCATCTTAAGTCAAAGCTTTAGTCTGAGCACTAGAGGACATACAGTTTGTTATAATAAAATTGTTCAACTACAGCCCAAAGTTCACGAGTGTTTCAGCTTCAAGTGTTTGTCAAAAGATACGTGGGGGGAGGTGCCAGAAATCAGGCCTAAAGAAGGAAGCCGGGTGTTTCCTTGGACTACAGAAAACTCTAATAACAGAAAAGAAAGAAACTAAGTCCAAGGGACAAAGAGTAGAACTGAGCAGAAAACCAAGCTGAATTTACATGGGAGAGGAAGGGGAGAGAGAATTCATAACAAGACTCAGCTCATAAGACAAAGATGAAAAAAAAAAAGAAGAAGAAGAAAAAAATTAAAAAAAAAGACAAAGATGACTCTATAAGAAAAAAATGTAAATAAACACTACTAAACTCTAAAAAAATAAATAAATAAAATAAAAGACATTTCCTCATGTCACAACATTTAAAAAAGGAAAAGGGAATGAGGGGACAGGCACAGATTTGCAGCTCCTGGGGAAAAAAAAGGGGTGGGGTGGGGTCAGGGGGGATTACCCAGCTAGAGAGGAAAGGGCACGTCAAGCAAGTTTCAGTAAAATAACTAAGACTAAAGCTAATGAGAAAAATTCATGATGCTATGTAAGTTTAAGAATATTTGCTAACAGTAATTGATAGATACAGCTAGGTAATTGTCTAAGTCAATAAAATATTATTACAGTTGCTATGTTTGTGTCTAAAGATAATTATATCAAAACCAGCTAACACAATGAAGAATGAGGAAGTCTGCACACACTGGCTGCTTTCTCTCTCACATCCTCCAAAGGAAAAGTAACCTGGACCAATAAACCATGACTACTACAGACACTGGTGGTGAGACAGGCTCCACTAGCCACCTGCAGGAGGGATTCGCTGGGAAAACCAAAGCTCTTACTCACCAAGGGGTTTCCTGTAAGTCAAGGCACAGCAGAAATATTTAACTTTTGCCTTTTGGGTCAGCCTGGGTAACTACAAAAAAGTGTGTTCAAAAAAACGTTAGTTGCTCCGTCATGTCCAACTTTTTGCAACCCCATGGACTGTAGCCTGCCAGGCTCCTCTGTCCATGGAATTCTCCAGGGGAATCTTTCCAACCCAGGGACTGAAACCAGATCTCCTGAACCACAGGCAGATTCTTTACTGTCTGAGCCATTTTTATTCAAATAATTGCCATCAAGACTCCTGAAAGTTAAAATGATATTTCAAGAAGCAGAGTCCAAAGCTTTTATATGCCTATTCAGTAACTTAACTGAGAGCTCACAGAGAGACAGAAAATGCTAAAAGGAGATAGAAAACTAAAAGAGGAGGGACTTCTCTGGTGGTCCAGTGGTTAGGGCTCAGCGGTTTCACTGCCAACGGCCCAGGTTCAATCCCTGGTCAGGGAACTAAGATACCACAGACTGCACTGTGAGGTCAAAAAAAGGAAAGAAAACTAAAAGAAATTTTTACTGCCAACATATAAAATCTGAAAATGTTCATCTTGTAAGACTATTGGCTGGAGTCAGGGAATAAGTAAACAATAATTTATTCTCATTATGTTAGAATAAGAAGCTACAAGAAATAAGAAAATGTTTATAATCTGCTAGCCTAATATAACCCTTCTATTATAACTATATTATTAAATAAAGCCTAAAGAAACAATATCTCTTAGATTTTCACACTGAAGAGTTTGTGCAAAACAGGCTTGCATTTGGGTCATTTTTATTCCAATTAATTAAAGGCACCAATGGACTAAGAGTATTGCCTAGAAAACTCTGTTGGGCTGGCATCAGACCCACTTCAATTTCATACCACTGTTATCCTACAGGACAAAATATAAACTTAAACTTGATGATAAAGTCACTGAGACTATAAATAAGGTGACTGGCAGAAAGGCAAAAAGTATAAATACAGAAGAGATAAATATTTGTAATGAAAACAGATTACACTTTGGGAAAAACTTCAGTTCAGTTGCTTAGTCGTGTCCAACTCTTTGCGACCCTATAAATCGCAGCATGCCAGGCCTCCCTGTCCATCACTAACTCCCAGAGTTTACCCAAACTCATGTCCATTGAGTTGGTGATGCCATCCAGCCATCTCATCCTCTGTCATCCCCTTCTCCTCCTGCCCCCAATCCCTCCCAGCATCAGGGTCTTTTCCAATGAGTCAACTCTTTGCAAAAACTTAGTACTTAAATATATTCAAGTATGTCAAAATTAAAAAGATATTAAACCATAATTACAACACAACTCAAATGGAAATACATCCCACAGGTGGTTGATCCAATTTTCAGTTGTTCATGAGGAAAATAGAAAGACTGGAACACAAAAAGAAGCGTAGAAAGGAACAGGAAAAGAAGACCTTCTCTTTCTTTGAAAGCATACTACTTAAGTTTGACGTTGTTAGCCACTGTAAGTACAAAATGGAGGGATTTATTTCTGAAGAAAGAATAAAACAGCCTAATAGGAAATTTAAGAAATAAAAATGTACACCATATAAAACAGACTGTGATGGTAAATGATCTTTAAGATGGAATATTAATAACAAAGATAAAAAGTTTAGTTTTCCTTTTCAGAAATAAAACATAACAAATAACAGCAACAAAAATACAGGCAGTTTTGAGTCTTTTCCTTGGATAATAAACATTATTGACTTTGGGGATCAAGGCTGGAGTCTGTGCTCATGTTTCAGATACTTTCACCTAACCTCACTGAGCCTAGACACACCTAAGATTTTTCAACTTTTCAGAAAACAGAAAACAAACACACACAAAAACAGACTAAGAAAAACCACACAAACCCTCCAGAGTGTTTTCTGGGGTAAAAATATTCATTATGCTAAAACTGTTATTACTCCACCCCACTTCAGTTTATGAAACATTCTCATGCATGTCACTCAGTCAGTTAGTACTAAGTACTTTGTATTTTAAAATTGAGGAAACAGTTGTGGACCTTCCCCAGGTCCCACAGCATGTATGTCACACAGCTGAGGCTTGAACAGTTTCCCAGCAGCTGAAAAGAACATCGTGATCAGGAGCTTAAACACAAGCAACAGAGGAAAACTGGCTGTGATGATGACAGCACTTAAGTATCTATCAAAATCCTGAGATCCATCTAACCATAGGATAAGATTGATATATTTAACAAAATAAAAACCAAAGATAATTCATTACAAGATAGCCAACTCAAACTTCGTTAGCTCGGTAATTACTGTTTTTAATTAAATGCAATCTGAATCAAAATCTCAATAGGGTTTGACAATTATAATTCTAAGGATCAGCTGCAAGCCTATCTTAAGAACACTTTGAAAACACAACAATCAGGAAGGCTAGCAATACCAGACTTTAAAGTCACAGACATTAGAACAATATAAAAATTGGTACAAAAACTTTGTACTAAGAATTTGATAGAAAAGTACAATAATAGAACAAAATCCCCTAGACTTAAGGATATATAAGGTAAAGCTGGCATATCAAACTATTGGGGAAAGTAAATTTTTCTCAATAAATTATGCTAGGACAATTAATTTCGTTGAGAAAAAAGTGCAAGAATATTTATATTCATAAGATGGGTTGATGCTAACAGAATATGAAGGACCATTTCTGAGCTTAACATCAAAGTCCAAAAGCCATAAAGAAAAAAAACGGTAATTTTATTACATAAAAATTGAAGTATGTTTATGTCCTAAAACTCTGAAAACAAGATTAAAAAATAAAAGAAATGGGGAAATATACAGAAAAGCAGTTCATCTATCACTACAAAACAGAAAAAGTTAAACATCCAATAGCAAAACAGATAAATGATGTTAAAAGATAAGTCATAAAAAGAAAAAAACAACAAAAATGTTCAACCAAGGGAATAAAAATTAAAACAAGATGTAACTTTTTACTTGCTAAGCTGGTAAAGATTTACAAATAAAATAATATCTAGTATTGGTGAAGTTACAGAGAAATCAAACTCACATACTGTGAATGTATTTACCCTGAGAATGTCAATTGAGGGTAATTTGGCAGCAGGTACCAAACACCTACAAAACATGTACACTTCTGGACTCAGCAGTTTTACTTGTAGGAATGTGCCACAGAAAATAGAATGTGTGGATAAATGCTTACATACAAGGATACTGGCCAAAGTTTTACTTATAATAGTAAAAACACAGCAAGAACAAAACCAAGAATAATATAGGGAATACTTTAACTCAGGCATATCCACATGACAGGATTAAAGCCTTAGTAAATATTATGTTAACAGAGAATATTTTATGACTTAAGAAAATGCTCACCAAATGTTAAGCTTAAAAAGCAGGTTATTTACTTAATTTACTGAACGATACTAGATAGCATTTGTCAAGTCATGGCACTGTTCCAAACAATTTATAAATATTAACTCATTCAATTCTTAAAACAACTCTATGAGACAGATGTTACTAACCTGATTTAATAAATGAATAAAC